GTGAGCTGGTACTTATGTACAGTTCCTACTCAAGCTTCTAAGCTAGCAGAATCTGAAGATTGGCAATGCCTTTTCAGATATAGTAAGCATAGGAGTTGGTGCCATATCATTCAGAAGTGATCATTATTGGCTGGTTGATGAAGACAAGTCGAAAGTTATTGGGTTTATTTTCTTAGTGTGATTTACCAACCTTTTTGATTCTGCACACTTTTAACTATCACGATCTGCTTGATTATATCTTTCAACTGCAACTCAATATACAAATTTAGTATGTTCTTCAAAAATAATGAGTTGCAACAATCAAAAACTACAGACTGACCAGGTTAACAGCAAAATGACCGAGTGCTATAAGCACTAAGCTTTAACACTGCAAAAAATAGCTGATCATTACTTATCTCCATCTGTGATAGGTCAGAAGCTACAAGCAAGTTGCAACAAAATATTTTACAAGCCTGATATCTTCTATGAAATGGCAAAACTTCCGCTAAATATCATTTCATGACTATCATATTCTTCCAGAAACGGTTAGCACTGTTCTTGTCTGCAAACCAATATTGGTTATATCAGATACCAAGAACGACAATCATACTACAAGACTCTTTGCTAGGCAGTATCCAACTTACACCTTTTGCATGACATCCAAACTACAACTGAACAGCATGCAAGTTTCAGTTTTGTGAAGTATGTGTAAAACTGTAAAAAGCAGCAGCCACATCTGAATCTATGTAGAGTGGCTTTAAAAACTCAGAGTTTGGCTAATTTATCAGCCACATCCAAATCTATGTAGAGTGGCTTTAAAAACTCAGAGTTTGGCTAATTTATCAGTCATATCCAAATCTATGTAGAGTGGTTTTAAAAACTCAGAGTTTGGCTAATTTATCAGTCACATCCAAATCTATATAGAGTGGTTTTAAAAACTCAGAGTTTGGCTAATTTATCAGTCACATCCAAATCTATGTAGAGTGGCTTTAAAAACTCAGAGTTTGGCTAATTTATCAGTCACATCCAAATCTATGTAGAGTGGTTTTAAAAACTCAGAGTTTGGCTAATTTATCAGTCACATCCAAATCTATGTAGAGTGGTTTTAAAACAGAGTTTGGCTAATTTATCAGCCACATCCAAATCTATGTAGAATGGTTTTAAAAACTCAGAGTTTGGCTAATTTATTATGCACAGACCAAGACGAAGTGCCAATAAGTGTGAATAAGTAATAGGTCACGATCAACACTCATTGATTACCTCTGCTTCCACTCCTGATGTCAATAAGCGTGCACCAATTGAATAAGTAACACATCACGATCAACTCTATTGATTACCTCTGCTTCCTCTGCTGGAGGGGTCTGGCAATATCCAGGGTTATCAGCTGCAGAAGAGGGACTTCAACTCCCTATTGGGACCTTCTGTAAGAAAGATTTTCTTCCAAGCTGCACATCTACATCATCACACTATGTCCAGCTGTAAACCGATACCAAAGGTTGGGTGTCTTATGATTCTAGTATCAAGCATTGTCCAAAGTTTCTCCTGATATAGAAACTATTAGCTGTATTGAATTTCAGGCTTTACACTTGTATCACCCATAGCAACAACACTACACACCATCTTACACTTACAACTGATAATACTAGAGCTTATACATGTCTATGCTGCATTATTTCTTTATGACAATGTTGCTTCTTAGCAAACAGCACCCAAGTTATATTCGGAACTTTCTTTTGCTCTTCTGAAAGCTTTTCATTCATCAACAAGGGTATTCATCCAATAACAGTATGATTGGCATCACTGCAGTAATAATAGCTTTCCCAGCAGCACCACCATGTCCAAATGGGTAGGTTCTGACTGATGCACAATAAAGTCCATCAGCTTTTCTATACTGCTGTCTGGAAAATGCTGAATAACAAAATAATGTTCTTACAGTATTGTTACTTAACAAGCAATTATTCCTACCAGTTGTTTGAAAATCATTAACCACTTCAGGTAGTTAGTCCATTCTGTTAGAGAAGCAAATAGTTGTCACAAAATGTTGGCATTTAGCAGTAGTCACTGTATGACTAGTTTACAATATTGCACACTACATATCATACTGAGCCTGAAACATCTCTGTTCCCATACCACTACCAATGATATCTGCCAACACAGGCTCATCATATACAGCAATTCTTATGGTAAGAAGCAATTGTTAAAATTGTATTTGAAAACAAACTCAATATCCACTTTTTTTACATGCAATCAAGTTGATACTTTTAGATATTAAGTTGTTGAGCTCTGACACCAGCTTGCTACCTTACGTCAATGAGTATTCTTTCTGCTATCCTCTCAGATTGTTCAGAGAACTTTAATTACATTATTTTCTGAAATATGCACAAATGTCTAATGAAAACGGTTCAGAATTAGAGTAATTTCATAACTTAGTTGAAAGTAACTTTACAGAAAATAAAAATAAATAAAAGTAAGCAATAATGCCTAACAATTAACATAAAAAAGAAACTTACATGATTAAGTAGCATGTTAAAATATAGTTTTATCAACCCACAAGCTTTCTAGTTCTTTAACGAGCTCTTCACCAGGAAGAATTTAGTGTAATACCGATAATCGGTTCAGAAATAGGAATCAGACTGATTATTGCATAATTGTGCAATAATTGAAATTGGTAGAATTTGTCTAATTTCCCGATCACAGAAAACCAAATGCTGAGAAATTAAAAATAACACCACCCAGACCACTTTATTCACAACAACAATCTTCTGATTTGTAAGTATCATGACCGTGTACTTTTTCCTTCTTATTCCGACAAGAAACACTATTCACCATAGAATAAAATATCTTCAGTGAAACAAACTGTGTCTGTTTTTCATTTATTTACATAATTTGATACACTGAATGAAAGAAAGGTTAAAAAATAATGCTCAGCACATCGCAAAGCACACCCATTTATTTACAGACCATACATTCGCAAACTGTCGATAACAGCACCCAATGCACAGAGCTAATACACAATGTGTGCTTCCCGGAGATCTACACAGACCTTTCCCATGAAGTGCCATGTGACTCCCCATTAGTACCGCACTATGGTTTTTCCACACTGGATGTTTTATGTTCAGTTCACCAGTTCTTAGGAGTATACTTTTTTGGCTCTTTTTACAACGTCTGTCTTACATCACTGGTCATTTCTCAAGTTCATATCAAAATAAACACATTTAACTCTTATTATTATTGTACCTTCCAAAAGTAGAATGACCTACAATTTATTTTTAGAAAGATTGATTTCGGGTATGGCTTCTTTGTCAGAACAATAGAGCCACATATGTTACAGTATACAGCTAACCCCGTAACACACAATTCATTTACAAATTGAAGTTAGTAGATGGATGCTCTGTGAACGACAAACATTTGCACCATGTGCACACTGAGTTTATGCATTACGGTACATACACTGACAATCCTCAGCATACACCATGTGCACGTATCCTACATTACATCACACCGGATTATGAACAAAAAATTTCAAACACTGTCACTTTATTTGACCTTTGATTAGAATACATTGTTTGGTTTAGTTCAAAATGTGTAGAATGATAGCAAATGTCCTCGAACTTATGACTGAAGTGAATGATAAATTTAGACAATGAACCTCACCAATTTGTTTTTCTCTCACAAGAGTCACATAACATTATGTATAAATCATGTACTAGCCATACAATCAGTCCCCATTTTTATTTTTCGTTCGTTTAAATAAAAAATTAAAGAGAGATCATGATTTATTGTTTCTTTTTTTTTGCATGGCACATTTATTGGTAACTTTGACCATTTAAAATTTAATGAAGCTTCAAAGAACATTCTCTGTAGTCGCTACAGTTTTTAACGTTAAACTGTCAACAATACTACATAATGACATCATCAACTTTACTTAATTGGAATTGGCCGATTGTGTGCTATAATAATTGGCAATAGGTGATTTCCATTTGTGAGATGATTGGTAAAACAGTAGAAGATTTATAACAGTAACTGAAAAAAAAGTATAAAAAATACAAATCAATCATGTGAGAAATCACAAGATGATACACTTATTGTTGTTAATGTTCACATTAACAATAATGTATAAATCAAATCTTCGATTAAGTCTGTCTACTTGCAATGTGTAAATTCACAAATCTGTTAAACATACGGAAATTGGTATTGACAGAGAGCTCTTTAAAAAGCTGGAAACCTTGTGGGTTAATAAAGCCTTAAATATTTTACTATAATACTTTAGTCTGTAAGTTTCTTTTTACATTAATTTATCCATGTTTAAATGACAAAACAACTAACAGTTGAACTTTCTTTTCAGTGAAGCAAAAATAATAAATATAAAAAAAAGTTTTGTAACATGAATCACTTTTAAACTTAACAAATGTACTGGCTTTTTTAGTAACAACAACAAAACTATTTAAAAACTAAGGAACAATAAACATATGTTAGATTATGAAATAGTTGGTGTTACAAAAATTATATTCATAAAAGATACTTGTTCTTTCAAAACATTGGAAGTGAAAACTTCTCAAAATATAATCATTTATACTTACAAATTGAATTTAAGCAGTTATGAATTATCTTATTTCACAGCATATATTTTGATTACATCAGTATTACGTTCAAGATCACTATACAAAAACAAGTTTTTAACTCGTATTTTAGTATATGCATAGTCAAAAAATATACATTTATGCACCAATAAAATTCAATCATTATCTACCTAAAGCAGTATGTCATGTTTGTACCATCTGATACATGTATCTATAAGACACTGTCTCAAAGGATATAAAACTCAACCAATTCATCCCAATAGCTGCTCTTACACTGATATCAGAAAACTGTGACTGACTACTAGCATTCCCTTTGATCTCTAAATTAATGCAACATAGTTTGAAACAGAAGTTGAAAATTAAAGTACCAAAAGTGAAAAAGGTTTTTCTGCAACTTGTAGATAAGGATAAAAACACAAGTGATGGCAATACCTAAACACATTGGGTGTAACAACCATATTTTTTATTTTACTTGTACTAATCTTCTTGCATTTGAGTAAAAAAAACCTAACACACTAAAAGTTCATTAGTTGGTAACATTTAAGGCATATAACATAAATAATACATACTTTACAGTAAATTATTTATTAAAAGTAAAATAAATTCAGCTAAATTGTAGGAAATTCAGCTGTCACTTAAAGGTTAAAAATTTCTAAACTAAGTAGTCTCAAAAATGATTATTGTACCATTACACATCTCTAAAAATTACTAGCTGACAAAATACTAATTTCCTTTTTTGTGTAGGATAATATTTCAAATGTGAAAAATGTAATCTTGAATATAGAAAACATTTCACCTTACACACAAGTAATCCCATATGGGAATATGGTAACTGAATCAGAACCCAGTCCAGGAAAGAACATACAGAAATACAGGGTCTACACACCATTCACTGACTTTGGAAGCAACCAGCATTCACTTTAATATTTGACTAATAATTTTGTGTGTGCTTATTTGGTTAATATCATATAAAGTCATTCATAAGTTATCATTACAAATTAGAAGTTACAAAAAGCTAATGATACACTAGTTTGTAATTAATACTAAAACCGATGTTGAAACAATAAAATAATGGGTGATTAAATAAAGATAGTCAATTAAATGCTAAATACATACTCAGTTAAGATAAGTTAATGCAAAATTTAACAAATTGAAAATCACAAACTGTTGGTGAAAACATGACATTTAGCTGGACTCTTCAATGGCCAAAAAATAAAGCATAATGGAAATTTCTAAAATGAATAATGTTACTGTTGGGTATAAATTTTAGTCATTCATACACAATTAAATTATCAAGAAATAGCCTACTAATAATAGGCTGACAACAAAATATGTAGTGTACAACACTACTGCTCCAGATTTCTACAAATCCAAGTCATAAGTTCTCAAGGAGACATATGGTTTTCATATGGGACCAACAGAAAACTTGTCAGCTTTTGTATCTAAACCAAAGACCCATAATAGCTGCATCGCCCCACCACCACCAAAAAAAGTTTAATCAGTGTGGCACACTTATGGTTTACAGTATATATATATATATTTAAAAAAACTTGAAGTTAATTGCCAAATATTAAGTTTAGTAACACACATACTTTTTTCCTGAGTAGTACTTACTGTAACTTCTACTAAAAGATGCTGTGAGATTATGAACTGTATGCTGATTTCACTAGCACTGTTATCAAACTAGAATCCAACATAACTTTTTATAATAACAATTGAAACAGCATCAATATTTTTAGCCTTTCTACAGGAAACTGCAAATAAATTTATCTCAATCATAGTACATACCAGAAAGAAGTTCAAATTTTACAAAAAAACAATCTGTAGTTACAAACTGAGATAGCAGAATCATATATATATGATGTAGAGAATGAAGGTCCCTCTCATAAAGTAAGCATGCTGGTATATATAATATCAGCTTTCAAATAGCCAAGCCAAAAACTGAAACAATACAGTACATAGTCTTGTTCTCCCACCTCACTGTGCAACTACCTGTAATAATACAGATAAATCATCAAGTTAACAATGACTCTATTACAGCTGTTTTGCAATGTTTATGTACATTAGCTTTATGATAAGAAAACTACAGTTTATGAATGTTATTATCAATATTTGCCTATAATACACATAATAAAAAGGTCAACTAATACATAACTTGCAAAAATATAACACAAGAAAATAGTTACATAGAATTGCTATAAATAAAATACACACTACTGTAAATAATAAATATGTTATTAAAATATCAATGTTATTATACTCAAAAGGTCAAAATTATACATGTTACAGTCTATTACAGCTGTTTTGCAATGTTTATGTACATTAGCTTTATCCTTTTTAAAGGATAGAAAGTTTTTACTTGGCAGTTATTATAAGCTACCCAATCAAATAGATGAGGTAAATGAAAAATTGTATTATAAATTCAGTATTTTTAATGATAAAAATACTAATATGGGTGCAAGTGATCATTGCTCAATTATATTTGATGGTTTGCCTGCATATGGAGATAAGGATTAATGAGACTCTGGGTCCAAATTTCAAAAAAGCAAATTTTGAAGAGATGAGATAAGAATTATTTTATGTGAATTAGGCAACTGAATTAGTTGAAGATACTGATCAAAGGTGGAAAACGTTTTAGAATAAATTCTTGAATATTCAATGTAGACATGTTCCTTATAGACAAAAAGAAAAAAAAAAGGAGTGGCTACAAGTAAAAAACCAGGTTGGCTCACAAAGGATAAAATCAACGAAAAGCATTACAAGTACAAGAAGTCTAAGTTCACTACAATGATGTGAGATATACAGAACTATACTAGCTCAAGAGCATTGGTCAAACAGGAAATTAAGAAAACAAAAAATTTAGGAAAAAATGTTGGCTAAAAATGTAAAAAATACATATATTTCTTCAAATATATTAACAATAAGTAAAATGTCAGAATGGGAATAGGGTCATTGAAGGACGACACCAGAAGGTTAATATATTTTGATTACACTGGTTGACAAAATCAAATGCTTTCTCTCATCAAAACACACTTTTCTAGACCAGTTTTCAAATCTGTCTTCTGTTCTAGTTATCAAAATAACTGGTGTTAATTTCAGCACAACTTAGGTAATAATTACATAATAGGCTATTAATATTACAATTTTATTTATTTTTCAGAATAATTCCCATAAACGTTATATACACCATACACTTGGTTAAATTTATACAGTACACACTTATGAAAAAAGAATGTACAACAACTTAAATTATAATTAAGGCAATAACTTTTCAAATTTGATCAGTCTCATAATGAAAACTTGACATGCTAGAGGAAAACCAACAACAGATTTGGAATCAGCATCCCAAGAGCTATCTAGCCCACCTATAATTATATCTGATGAAAATGATTCATTGGCCAGTGTTATGGGATGGCTGGATTATTACGTTCTACTTTTTCTTCAGTGTTTACAAATTAAGATTTAAGCAATATTCCTCAACCTAAACAGCTGCTGGATGGAAACAAGATGAAGACATTAATTCTGAGCTTGTTAAGAAAAAAAAGAAGTTTAAAGAACAATAAAGCTCCTGGGCCAGATAACATTTCCCCAATGGTTTTGAAGGAGATTAAGGATTGGATATGTGAGCCACTTACTACTATTTTTTTTGTAAACCTTTGATTAGTGGGCAGATGCCAGGGGAGTAGATGTTGGCTGATGTTTGTCCTCTTTTCAAGGGAGATGGTAAAATTTGTCCCAGTAATTATAGGCCTGTTAGTCTTATATTAGTTGCGGGAAAAGTTTTGGAAAGTCTGATAAAAGATGCTTTTGCAAAGTCATTTAACAAAGATTAGAATTTTATTGGATAGTCAACATAGTTACACTAAGGGAAAGTCTTTTGACATTCTTTGAAAAGGTTACTGCTTATGTAGATGAAGGTACAGATGTAGATTTGATATATATATAGACATTCAGAAAGAATTTGACAAGGTCCATATAAAAGGCTTGTAAAAACAATTATCTCTATAGGTGTGGAGGATAAGTTAGCAAATTGGATAGATGAGTGGCTGGATGGAAGAAAGCAGAGGGTTGTTATAAACAGAGTTCAGTCAAACTGGATTAATGTCACAAGTGGGGTACCTCAGGGTTCAGTCTTAGGACCTTTGCTCTTTTTGATTTACATCAATGATATAGATGAAGGGATAGTCAATAAATTACTTAAATTTGCATACATACATAGCTTTAATTTCAAATACAAAAGTGATATTTTAAACACAATGTATATTTCACTAAACATTCAGATAATTACATATGTCTATGCATATTTTCAAAGACTCAAGCATAATATTTGTTTCCTATGCTCTAAGTACATTTTGTAGAACTTGAACAGCTTGCACAGAAAATTAAGGGTAAATCACTATTATTGACAAATGTTTTGGATCATCAGCCTTTATATTTTTATACCACATAATCATATATACAACAAAAGCAGTCAAAACAATACCATCTGTATGCATTCAATTCATAATATTTGCATAATATAGGTTTAATGGGTTATTTACTTGAGCTGTGACATTTAGTAACCAATGCTATATATATAATCAGTTGCAAATGTAATGTAGTGCCTATAAATGGAATGAATGGCAGGATGATTTACATGACTCATTTATAAACACTTTACTATGCATCCAACAATTAGCAAGTACATTTTGTGTATATACATGTATGAATCATGCACTGGAATAAAATGTCATTTTGAATATTCAATTGCTGACTTACTGACATCACAAAATCATTTTATATATAAATATAAGTGTACACATACAGTTACGCCTACATATCCTCATTTATATCTGATTCAATACGTATAAATATAATTATTAACCATGCATTTTCTCTCTCAACATGCACTCGGTCGATTTGACTGACCACATGACCACTTTGTACTTGTTATAGTTTAGATACTAAAAACTTTTAATATATTAAGTGTATCTTCACAAAATTTTGTTGTAGTTCACTAAATAATTTTTATTTAATAAAATAATGCACTTTATTTAATTATTACAATTATAAATAAAGTATAAAAATATGGATCTCTTTAGATTAGTTAAGGTTAGATTAGGCAAAATAAATAATAATATAATAAAAATGAAGAAAATCATACAATAGAATACTTAGAATACCCTAAACATTCAGACATAGGTGATAATTTCTATTAAAAAAATTTTGTTGTCATAAGTTCCTTAGAATTAGTGTTTATTAAGTGCTTAGAGATTTCTGTATGTACCAGTTATGTTTGGTCCATGCAAAAATGTCACATGGTATACATTTGCCTTTCATTGTACTCTGTGTTTTATTTTTAAAGCCAGACTTCTGTATGATGAATAATGAGTATGATGTAGCTTCTTCAATATCCCAAAAATTAAGACTTCCCTAAATTCCCTCTAATTTTCTAAATAACCTAAATCTTAAAAAATTGTTATGCTTCTGTTTATCTTTCCCTCCATCTGTACTAAACTTCTGTATACTTCCTTCTACATATTCACTTTGTACATCATTATGTGGATGTAAGCAACATTACATCAGCTCCATACAAAAAAACAAAATTCTGTTAATGACATACCATCTGTAGTGTTATCCCAATAGCATGAGCTTGCAGTATGAAGTCCAGCTCCATTTTTCTGCATTATTACACAAGTTACTGTAGAAATATAATGAAAAAAAGAAGAAACTTGACTTTATCTCTTCTATGAACCACACTAAAACTTTAAATGATATATACTTCAACAACACAAGTTATACAAAATAGCAAGTAAGATCAGAAAGATATGCAAGTTCTCCATACATCTTGAATACGTCAACATGCATTTACACCTCTTATTTAATTATGTAACTATTTTTACCTAAAAACAGTCAACAAGATCTATGATCACTTTTCTGTAATAAATGTTAATACTCAGTGCCTAAATAATAGCTAGTTTGCACATACACAATAGAATTAGTATCCCTTCTGTGTTTTCATACTTATCTATTGAAAACACACACACACAGTAAACAATTATAATATTTAAAGTCAGTTTTACAAGCTGTAGGACAAGAAATAAAATCTTTTAAACTGGATGAAACCCTTGAATTTCAATTTCCTAGTTAGTCATTACAGCAAACATAAAGAGCATTAATACCATTTTTTTAACATAGAAATTTCAACATTAGAAATAGCCGAGACATAATATTTATAAATGATATATTTACTTTTCCTAAATTTCAGTAGTCTTAAGTCTTCAAGATACATATATTAAATTTTAATTCCACCAAAACTACTGGCATATGCTATAAAGCAATAACCAAGATAACTATGTTGTGCATAAATCAATTCATTCTTAGCAATTAAGTTTGCATTTATAACATGAAACCAAAACCACAAACATATCCAGAGACAACTATCACTAACCAACTTGAACCATGAAATATATTTCTTAGTACAACCATTTTTAACTTACCAATGTACTTGAAGGGTTTGTTGAGTTTAGTGACATGCCCCAGGATCTGTTCCACAATAGTGTTGGTCCACTGATTCACTTTACTATGTTGGTAAGCATTTCCCCCAATAGTGCCTTCCACCGCCTAAAGGTAAGGATCATTATTAGAAAACTTTGTGAGTGTGCAATTACCAATAGTGTGCAGATGTTTAACTTGTGCATCAAACAAAGAGTGATGTTAAGTTCAGAGTAGTTTTACCATTAATTAATCACAAAAGTACAAAAATGTGAAAATCATTTCTTTTTTTTTCAGTATGCTGCATTATCTACCTGCAAACCACACTTCCCATAATAAACTTCCACTAGAGCTGAGCAATTAGTGGTACTTGCTAAGTGATTAAAAGACAGTTCCATTAATCAATTAGTACAGTATTTCTCAAACCATGGTACCTGCAAATAAATAGAAAAAATAGTGTTCCCAGCCTGTGTAGCTTTGCTCTAAAAAAATACAGGACAATATTTTGATTATTTGGCTAGTTGGAATAATCTAAAATAGTAACAATCAGAAACAGTAGTTTTGATTTGTTGGTTATTTTCATGAAAATCAATTCAATTATAATTCTGATTTATGGACTGTTGGAATAAATGAAAACAGTTACAACTTGAAACAGTAGTTTTGATTTGTTGGTTATTTTCATGAAAATCAATTTAATTATAATTCTGATTAATGGACTGTTGGAATAAATGAAAACAGTTACAACTGGAAACAGTAGTTTTGATTTGTTGGTTATTTTCATGAAAATCAATTAATTATAATTCTGATTTATGGACTGTTGGAATAAATGAAAACAGTTACAACTTGAAACAGTAGTTTTGATTTGTTGGTTATTTTCATGAAAATCAATTTAATTATAATTCTGATTTATGGACTGTTGGAATAAATGAAAACAGTTACAACTTGAAACAGTAGTTTTGATTTGTTGGTTATTTTCATGAAAATCAATTTAATTATAATTCTGATTAATGGACTGTTGGAATAAATGAAAACAGTTACAACTGGAAACACTAATTTTGATTAGTTGATTATTTTCATGACAATCAATTAATTGACTGTTAGAATAATAACTGGAAACATTAATTTGGATCAACTGACATAATTTTAATAGAATGATTATTTTATGTGACATTAATAAATGTAATCACTGCTCATCACAATATATTAAATTGCCCTGCTCTATCTTCTACATTTCTATATGTTCACTTTGTACATTCTTAGCATGCACATGTAATCAACAGTACATCACCTCCACATGATAAACCATTCCTTTGATAAGTTTGCTTAATACTAAACTACCATTGAACCTGTGAATATACCTTATTACCAAATGAAAGGAATATGATATTCAAGTACACTTCATCAAAAGCCAAAACCAGGTGTTCTAAACCAAGACTGAAAGATCATGTTTACATTGTCTCAGATGACCTACATGACTTCATAAGATAAGTAAGAACATACAACTTTTAAAAATGCACAATAACTTATTGTATAAAATTAAAATATACAATTAAAAACTCTACATAGTTTGGTGGTAAAAGTTCCACCACTTTCAGGAGACCAGAAAAATACAGGAAATTTATTTTTTTATTTTTTATTCCATGTGTATAATTTGTATATTATACAGTGCCTTCTACAGAATAGACTTCCTAAAATTCACTTCTGTGACACCTGAACTTAGATATCTATTCAAAGTCATTTTATGTTTAATAATTTCAAGAAATTCTCTTATGTTTAATTCATGTTTTAGCTTAACCTACCCCATTAAATGTTATGCAAAGAGTTTTCCACGTGTTCTGCAAAAGCCGAGTCATTAGTTTTTAATTTTTGACAGCATTTTCATGTTCATTAATTCGAAACTTCAAATTTCTGGTTGTTTGTCCAATACAATTCAAGCCACAACTGCAAGAGATTTTATATACTCCACATTTATCTTTTAATTAAATTTTGTCTTTAATACCATTAATGATATTCATTGGTTTTACTTTAGGAGTAAAGAATAATAGACAAGTCATATTTTTCATAAATACCTTGCCTATTTTGGTTGAGAGTGGCAGAACATACAGCAAACATATTCTTTCTTTATTAAACTTACTTATTATCTGTAGTTTGGTGTATTCTGAAATTTCTAATTTATTACAGTGTTTTTTATAAATCCTATCTACAATACACAGTTTAAAACTTCTATCGATACCTATATATTTTAAATAATACAGTTCAAACATAAGATCTTCATTATATGAAGACTTTAATGGCCCTAAGGAGAAATGAAGAAAAAGAAGACATTTTTTGTGACAATGGGTGACATGATCTTATGTGTGGTGGCATGGTAACTAAGAACTGTTTTCTGTATACCGAAGTAGACAGAAACCTATTCTTTCTTTTCATGGAAACATCTAAAGAATTTAAATAGCCCCCTTCTTCCACTTCTAAAGTGAATTATATTGTAGGGCTGATAGAATTGAGATGTTCCTGAAAATCAATTAATGTCTCATTGCCATAATATGGAAATTATACACTTGCACTTGCTGATATAAAAAATAAAATTTCCTGTGTTTCTTATGGTCTCCTGAAGATGGTGGAGCTTTGCCCACTAAACATGTAGTTTTTAATTGTATATTTTACTTTTAACTTTATGTAATAAATTATTGTGCATTTTTAAACATTCAATGTTCTCACCTATTCTATGAAATCTGCACCAAAATGGTCATAGAATATACTGACCTACATGAATCATCTTGATATGTAACAATATGAATAACTTGACAAGGCACAGTCCACAAAGAGCACAGAAACCTTCTTATCACCTTTAGATTCAGAGCAGGGAGTGTAGATATATCTGTATGTATCTTGGTATACATGAAATTATCAAATTAGTGAGCTATACATGCTAGGTATATAGTACACACAAGCTAATACTTACCACACAATACTTACAATACAATAACCCCAGCTGCTGTAACACACTGCCACCTAGGTGTGAACAATCCTAACACTAAGTATGATTCACAAAATGAAATCAAGAGCAAACTTCTATATTTTTCTTGTACAAAATCACTTTTAGTCTAAACCATACCTATATTACTCCAGTATAAAGATAGAGTTCTATCATTAAATGTGCTCAGATCTAGAAGGGCTTTTGTCATCCTTTATGTATTAAAACCTTCACAATTACTCATAACACAACAATTAACTTAAGTGTTATATAATCAACAAGATGTATTCAAGGAACAAACTACCAATGATCATTGTGGAGCTTCCCCTGTACAGTTCAGATAGCAAGAGTCACAAATACTTTAAACTTTCTAATCTTGTAGTTTTCCCAGTTACTGATCTACCTTAATTTCAGCCATAGCAGTTCAGAGATTGATGCTTCTAAGGTAGTTAGTACTCTGACTATTGGAAATGCTCAGTTATTGGTTCTTATATGGAACATCATAAATTACCAAGTGCATAATTGCAGTATCTTTCTCCTCCTCTACTGAGTCAAAATAATCAATGACAGTATTACTACTACTTCCTGAATTTGTAATCTTGTCATTCTCAGGGTTCTGATCTAACAAATGCTTAATGATTGTGTCTGCAGTACATAATTTACATAATCTTCAATATTATTTAGTTACAGAGCCATAAAATAGAAAATCAGTCTCCTCTTGCCATGCCCAACTGTCACATCCTCTCTTTCAGAACTTGCCAACACTTCTCTCTAATATTTAAGGCTATAATTATTTATAACCAATAGAAAGCCAAAGTTTTCTCTATCAAATGTTGTACTATATTACATTGTTGTCTGTACAGATAATTGTCTATTTTCTTTCCAGTTCAAACTTCATTCCCATGGGAAACGCATTGATGAGCTTAGCTGAATTTCTAATGGCTTTTGTCATACAGTTTGAAAGCCAGAAAAACTGTGATAGTTATGGAACATTGTTTCCTTTTTGCATGCTATTATTCTGTGTTCTTTGGTGCATTATTTAATTAAATAAAAAAATATTTAATGCAGTAGTACAATTAGTATAAAAAAGTAGGGTTAAGTTTCATTGACAGTTGAGAGCAAAAAATAAAAGACCCAGATAGGTACTTTTTTCTTGTTTTTCAAGTGTATTTTTTATTTATTATTATTATAAAAGTAACTAAAATATAAAAACTGAAAACTTTTTAGGTTAGCTGAATTAGAATAAATAATAATATTAATAACAGTATCTTTATGAGGTATGCTCATGAGTAGTCTGTGCATTATGTACTTCAATACCATAATGTGAGCTGGATCTTTAACAAAATTGGTATGGAAGTTCATTAGGTCCATGCAGGGGTACACATCCAGTTTTGTATTTTGCAGTTTTTATGAGTATTTTTTACCACTACCTCACCTCCTGTGGATGGATCTTCACCAAATTTGGAATGGAGGTTCACTGGGTCCATGAGGAGATATATATAAAACTTTTCAGTCTTGCAAGGTTTTTGTGTTTTTCTCCATTACCTCACTTCCTGTGGATGAATGTTCACCAAATTTGGAATGGGGGTCCATGGGGAGATACATACAAATTTTCAGTTTTGCAGTTTTCATGCGCATTTTTGCACTTTTTACCACTACTTCATCCCCAGTTGATGGATCTTCACCAAATTTGGCATGAAGGTTTGTTGATTCCATCCGGAGATACATGCAAATTTGCAGTTTTTATGGGTGTTTTGCATTTTTTACAATTACATATAAAGTAAGCAACTTATCATGTCCTAAGACAACCTTTCATTAATCATGAATTTACATAACTTCCATCCAGGGGAGGGGTACTCCAGCTAATTAATAATATAGTTTAAATTTTGAATGTAGATCCATAAAATAGTTATGACATGCACACCTTGACCAACTTGTAGCAAGAGGGTTAACAGGAGTCCCCAGTGTTCTGATTGATAAATGAAACAGAAAAGATCAAGCAATGAATCTGTGTCCTTTTCATTATGAAAACTTGATTTAGTCATAGTTACAGCTTAATCAAATATACATTAATATAAAAAGAAAAAATGGAAGCCCTAAAAAGAAATTGTAAAACAATAGTCAAATTGTTATTTTACAACTGGATAAAGTGCAA